AGTCAGACAGGCTGCGTCCTGTGCCAGGATTCCCCAAGAACAGGTTGCTGAGAGGTAACAATAGGATGATCCTGGCCCATGCAGGGGGTTGGACTTGATGATCTGGAGAGTCCCTTCCAGCCCTATTTCTCTTTGATTCTAAGATTGCTGTAATCAAGCTATGTAAACACACATGCATCTCTATCTATCTGTCTATCTATATATACACATGCATACCTTTAAATACATTTTAATTCCATCATGGTTTCTGTTTTCTCTTAGGTAATCAGCTCAGATATAGGATCTACCGTTACCTTCTGGCTGATCGATACTGGGCAGAAAATCAAACAGTTTACTGGTTGCCATGGGGATGCTGAGATTAGCACTATGGCATTGGATGCAAGTGAGACAAGGTTCTTAACAGGGAGCACAGATGGGACAATAAAGGTGTGGTGAAAAGAAATCATTTCAAACTATTTGCTTCCCTCACAGTCCTCTCCATCTAGGTACAATGGGCCAAAATGTTCTGCTATAAAACAGGGACTCCCTCCCCAACACACACTATTAGCCTTGCACAGAAAAGCTGTTGAAGTCATAATGTTGTCAGGAAAATGCAGTTAAATTTAGTTCCTCATCTAATGCTTTAAATAAACCTAGTGCTTTACCAACTAGAAATTCTAAGGTGTATTCCTGTTTCAAAGAACTTGCAAATCCTATTTTCCTTCATCACTCAAGTGTTCTCATAGATTTAAAAGAGAGGGCTTATATCAGAAAGAGATGCCATGTTTGACCCCTAGCGTTCTTCTTTGAGTAAAGAGAACTGCCCATGTTAGTCTGAAGTTAAGCAGAAGGCAGGGCAATGTAGCACCTTATAGATTAACTGGTTCAGAGAGGCATGAGCTTTCATGGCATAAGCTTCATTATAGCATCTGATGAAGTAAGCTATAGCCTGTGAAAGCTTATGCTTCTCTGAATGAGTTAATCGATAAGGTGCCACACTGCCCTGCCTACCTTCCTCTTTGTTCTCTGTCTTCCACGTGATTTTATCATAGTCCCTAGTCTTAAACAGAAAATGCCTCTTCGGCTAAGTACAAACAGTCAAAAGGCCCGAGGCTGAACTAATTCAATCTTTGCAGTTTAAACTGTGTAGATTGAACCCATAAGGAATTGAACAGACATTCACTTTTGATTCCACAAACGCAGCCATATGCCTCCAGTGGCCCAGGCCAGAAACTGGGAGGGGCACTAGAGCATACCTCCCTGCTCAGCTGGAGCACACAGCAATGGGCCAAGGCTAGCCTTCCCACCCTGAGAGGTGAGGGGTTTGCAGGGGAGGTACAAAGCATCCTGGGATACTGGGGGACTGTGAAATCTGGAGGGGATCTGGGACAGAAGTTACATAAACTGATTTAACCTAACACATTCATCTAGGTTTATCTTAAACTGGTTTCAAGTATTTTGAAAGTGGTTTATATGCACTGAACTTCTGTTGTGTTACAGGTTTGAACCGGTTTTCAGTATACTGGTTTGTGTGTAATTTCTGTGCCTAACCCTAATGCTCACTTATTGTCATTGCTTTTCTCTGAGTCCCTGGAGCTTTGTGGTACCTAGTATTTTGTGCTTGGAAAGTTTTTCGTCAGAAATGGCAACTAAGTTGATGCAGAAGATAAAACACTAGGGCCTCCTATACACGTGCAGGAAGGCTACTCTAGTATCATGTGTATCAGCATCCCCACACTAAAAAATGGCAGTGGGGTACTTTTCAACCAAAGCTCATTCAATGAGCTTTAGTTCAAACTGCCCCACTGCCATTTTTCAGCATGGGGATGCTGATACATGTGACACTTCAGGTGCTTTTAATTAGCATGGCTCTGAGCTGTGCTAATTAAAGCATCCCTGCCTCCTGTAGCATGTCTATAATGCCCTTGTTTTTATGGGGTTTTTTGTTGTTTTTTTTTTTTACTTCTGGAGACATCTATTCAAGTGCTGTTATGTCAAACCTTAAAATGAAGTTAGAAACTTCTTCCAAATCTCCATGTGATTATTTGACAATGTTACGAAACCATGGTAAAATTTGCTTGTTGGTGTTTTAGTTCCTTCTAATGAGAGACTCTGGGCTTGAATATTAGGGTGTGTGCTTCAAGTCAGGAAATAGGTGTATTGGTAGAAAACTGGGCAGTATTATGGCAGGCATTAAGTCAATCTGATCAGTCCTTCACATCAAGGCATGTTAAATTCACATGGCTTGAAAAATATTATGAGACGGTCAGGTTGATTTCTGTCTCTTTCAATTTTATTGGCTTAAGTTTTTGAAAATCCTTATTGCCAGAGGCTATTCCCCCACACATGGCTAATTTTTGAATAACTGGTTAGACTGCATTCAGTTATTTTTATTGTGGTAGTAACTGTGGGTCCCTGTGGACCTAAGCACCCTGACACAACACATAGGGTGACAGTTAGTACTCTAAAATGCTTACAGACAAATCTATTGCAGACAAGTCAAAGGATGGGGATGGGGGCAGTGAAGTGCCTTAGCATAAGTAATGCAGAAGTTTAGCTGAAATTTGGGACTCAAATTATACTGTTGCCCTTGGCTGACTGGAAGTAATCTTAAGTGCAGACACTATTTCAAAGTAGTGGAAATCCTAGCATAAAACATTCAGTGCCTAAGAAAGTGGAGTGATGGCTAACCTGTCCATCCTATATGTGTTTTTAGGTACAAAAAATGTACCATAACTAAACCAGTAGAGTTAAGGTGGTAAAACCAGTCTAACGCAGAATGTAGTTATACCAGTATAGTTTATTCCTGCATGGAAAAGAGTAAGCTATACCAGTACAAGGTATCGTGATACCAATATAGCTTCAGCAACCCTGATTTTCGTTTTAAAGATTCCCAGTACTTCTATCCCTGTGAAACCCCATAAGTGGAATAGCTATATGAGTACAAACACTTTATTCAGATCAGACTTCAGTCAAAGAACATACTGAAAAAAAAATTCAAAAATAGGGTGGAGGCAGATTCTTGAACTAGCATCATGCACCTTAGGATAAGTTGGTTAAGCAGGATATCACTGTATTTTTATGCTGTTAATAAACCCTGAAGATTAAGCTTTTTGTATCTTGTTCATACTAACAAATACATTCAATGCCTTCAAAACATATTCTTACTGCATATAGGAAAAATATAGAATGCCAACACGTGAACTCAATATGTTTTCTCAATGGCAAATTGACTTTGCAGAAATAACTCCTCTATGTAGTACTTTGTAATATACAATAGATTATACCTGAAATGGGATGTTCTGGCACTTTTAATTTGTAGGAGCCAATGTGCTATAAATCAATACATGCTAGGATACCTAAAGTACACATTTTGGGATGTGCCAGTAGACAGATCTTATTGGCTTGTGTTTAGGATGACTAAAATGATGAAGCTGTCAATGAATTATGTGTGAATAAAGAAGTGAACACATACGGTGTCTGTGTTAGGAATAGGACACAGGACTCAAATGTGGCCTGGCATCTCTTCCCACCTCTGACACTGGGTTCTGTTCTTGAACTTCTTTTGGGCCTGGGGAAAGTCATTTAATCTGTGTCTTTGTTCCTCCAGCCTATAAAATGGGGTATATGCTTCTACCTCCTTTGTATGGTGTCTTGAGATTTATGGATGAGAAGTGCTATTTGAGAGCTATGTGCCGGTATTATTTATTAATTTTATTATGCTGTGCAGGGGCCAGCCAGACCAGTTTTATGCCATTATAACTCCACTGTCTTCAGCATAGTTATCTCTGATTTACAGTGGAGAGGAAAAAAATTGGACTCCATAGGTTTATTTTTTTCATTGCTTTATTGATTCTGAAGTTACCAGAAGATTTTCTGCTTTGTCTCTGCTAAGAAATTATGGCTTACTCTTTTTTTTTTTTTTTTTGGATTGAAGATTTGGGATTTCAATGGACACTGTCACCACAAGCTCAGCATTGGAAAAGACCGAGCTGTTGATATCTCCCAGATCTTGGTACTAAAGGAGACAATATTAATTACAGGCTGGGACAGGTATTGTATATGTTATAATACAAACCAGGAAGAGATAAATTACTAAAATGTGCTGTTTGTCTCAGTTTCTGGAGATAAAATCCATCATGGTCTAATTTTCTCCAAACACAGTAACTCATTGACTGGGTGGCAATGCAGTTCAGAAAAATATTAAGAACTAGCTGCGCATCAGTTGGGAGAGTGTTACTTTAAAGCTGTAGCAGAGTCGGGGAGATTACTTGTGGTATGTCTTGCAAATACAGCACCAATACTGCAATAGCATTTCCACTGTGGATCCTGAATCTTTTGTTGAGGGTTCTGTTTACAGTGAGACAACTGCAAAATTTACTGCCTGTAGCATAGAATTGCCACAATATTGACTTTCCTTAGCTTTATAAAGCACCATTCCCTATGCTTTCTACTAGAAGAAACAATCTGCTTCCGAAATGGTAGAATTCCTGCAGGAATTACAAATACATAAAAGAGCTTTTCTGCACTAAGATGCTATGCAGGTGCTAGGAAAAAAAATACAGCAGGACATAATTTGAAAACATTCTGTCTATAAATTTGGAAATTCAGTGAATACAGATGCTGCTGTACCTAAAAGGTAATTCACACAGCATTTGTACAGTGTAGAATTATGTTAATGGGTTGGGAATAGGATGGAATAAATTGCCTTTGTATCTTTTCATCCTCTTTGAAAATTTAAGAACCAGATTCTTTTTGTGTGTGTGTGACTTTTAACAGATATAAAACCAGGAAGAAAATCCCTACTAATGGCCATGAATACATGATATATATATAAGCAGTATTCTAAAAAAGGAGAAGAAGTGCTTTTAAATATTAAGGCATATATATTCAAGAGCTCAGTCCAGAAATGCTTATCTATCTTATAAATATACCGTTGCTACTTGTGCATGCTTGCAAAGACAATTATTGCTTATTAGTGACTCACATATCATCACTCTGAATTGCAGTGATGCTCAAGGTGAACAATAGAGTTAGATTGAAATTAAATACATGAGTGATATTTTGCTTTGATTTTCCATTGGATTGAGCCACTGGGCCTGAAAAGGTTCATGGGTAAGAGTTGCATCTTTTTACCTGGCTGTTTGTGTCCCAAAGCTTGCAAAGAACTTTCCCCCAACTTTTTAGTTGGTGTAATAAAAGATATCAAATCCACCCGAAGAACCTTGCCTGCCTATGTCCTTAAACCAACGTGGCTACAACCAACAACGCTGCAACATTTCCCTTAGCTTTCTCTTTGGAATAAATGACCATCATCCTGGCAGCATCTGTTTGAGACTGCATGCTACTGTGCCCTTGCTTTGAGCTTCATCTGGACAACTGGATGCTTTTTGGATTGAGTTTCAGTTTCATAGGAGTGTCCTATCCCTGAATTTTCTCCACCAACAGCCATTGATTCCAGTTCTCTTAAATAAATCAAGGTTTATTTAGCATGGGAAATAGAAAATCAATGTAAATACACTGGAGTGGAATAAAACATGTCTCTGCTGGATGCCATGCAAAGTGTAGTCAAAATAAATCTTGTGCTTGCAATCTATAGATTAGACAAGATTACAAGACTTGTCTCTTTGAGAATGTGACATGGATTTCACTTAGAAGACTGTTGTTCCCATCACTTTCAGTTTAGGGTTTCTTTCTGTTCTGTTTCTGGAACTGATATTCAGGTTTCTGTTATTCCTTCTGCTTTTTTTCTGGCTTGCAGAGATGAACTAAATTGTATTATATCGTCCAGAAACTATCATGCCACTTAGTATACCTCTGCCCTGACTAACATTATGGAATATAACTCCCTACTGTGATGGCTGGAGGTTAGAGTTTCATTACCTGTTCAGTTTGCCTCCTTTCCTTGATTCAGTCCATACTTTATCCTTCCTATCTGTTGCTGCAGCTGTAATAACTCTTTGTCCAGCACCCATGGCAGACCGTCACTGGCTGATGGATTGGTGAATGGAAGGGTCAACTGTAAATGTAGGGCTGTATCTTCCCAAGTGGAAAAGGATGTAATATAGATATTATACTGCTGTCCCACAAACTTAGTACAGCATCATCAAAAACTTATTACAAACATCATAATTAACTTAGTACAGCAGAAAAGGTCCTGGAGGTTACAATGGACAATAAACTGAATATGAGCCAACAGTGTGCCCTTGTTGCCAAGAAGGCTAATGGCATGTTGGGCTGCATTAATAGGAACATTGCCAGCAGGTCCAGGGAAGTGATTATTCCCCTCTCTTTGGCATTGGTGAGGCTACATTTGGAGTATGGTGTCCAGTTTTGGGTCCCCCATTACAGAAAGGATATTGGCAAATTGGAAAGAGTCCAACAGAGGGCAGTGAGAATGGTTGGGGGGGCTGGGGAATGTGACATATGAGAAGAGGCTGAGGGAACTAGGCTTATTTAATTCGGAGAAGAAAAGACTAAGGAGGGATTTAATAGCAGCCTTTAACTACCTGAAAGGTACAAAGAGTATGGCACTAGACTGTTCTCAGTGGTGGCAGATGACAGAACAAGGAGCAGTGGGCTCAAGTTGCAGCAAGGGAAGCTTAGGTTGGGTATTAGAAAGAACTTTCTCATAAGAAGAGCAGTAAAGCACTGGAACAAGTTATCCAGAGACGTTGTGGAATATCCATCCTTAGAGGTTTTTAAGACCTGGCTAGACAAAGCCTTGGCTGGGACAATATAATTGGGGCTGGTCCTGTATTGAGCAGGGTGTTGGACTAGATAACCACCTAAGGTCCCTTCTGACTCTAATTTTCTATGATTCTCTGATCATAGACTGACCTTTAGAAACAGACATCTGGCCCAGACAAAGTCTGATATCAGTAGAAGTATTTTTACACACAACATCATAATACCAGTACAATTCTCTTTTATAATCATATCTAAGGGTAGAAACAGATGTTGCCTTTTCTCGCCTTTGGGCTGCCATCATTTTTTTTATGGCAGCACAAAGATGAAGCAAGCAGACATCTATGTCCTTCATCACACCACAAATACCCCAAATCTGTGGTGGTGGCAAAGGTAGTAATAAATTGTGCTGCTTTATTGTGGTGGACGTTTGTGTGCTGGCGGCAGGAGAGTGTGGGCAGCCAGAGTTGCCTGTGCTCTCCAACCACTCTGGGTAAGTGATTCTGAAGCGTGGGGGACTAGATCCCGTTCACTGTGGGGAATTTCCAGACAAGCGCCTGGAATGTGTGCTCAGCTTTTCCTCTTACACAGATATGTCCCAGGAAATCTTGGGGATGACCTCAGTAAGTGGAGAAAGTAGGGGTTTCAGTAAGTGGAGCAAGTATTGGGAGACACATCTGGGATCTTCTGAAGCAGGAAACGCCCAGTGCCTCCACAACTGGTCCTGATCCATACTGGCTTGTATGGAGCCATGGATCTATTCAGATCAGGTCCCAGAGAGCAGCCACAGGGTGCTGGGGCATGTTGCTTTAACAAGGGACTCAGACCTTCCCTGTTGGAAGAGAAACTCCATGGAGATCCCAGAGGCAGGTCTCTTTAAGCAGGAAAAGTCTGGGCTATTCCTGCTTGAAAGCCCGGACTTTCCCCACTTAGAGATGTGCCCCCAGGAGGTGTGAGAACCAGGGAATTCCCAGCCCCCCCATGCCTCCATACATGGGTGACTGGTGCCTCCTGAATCTGGGGGGGGGGCAACCGATCACTGAGCAGGGGAGGAGGGGTTCCCTGGTGGCCAATTGCTGGGGGAGGGGTCCCCCAGTGGCCGGATTGCAGAGCCCAGAAACACTGCCAGTGAAACCAGAAGTGCCACTGGGGGACTGACTCTCCACCTCCTCTATCAGTATGCAACTCTGCCTTCCCCCCCACATTGGTACACCACTGCAGGGGGGCATGTCAAGCACCTGCTGATGCCACTGGCAGCACCAGTTGCAGGGACAGCCCTGTTAGGGGGGGCACATGCTCCCCCTATGCGTCACCAGTGCCTCCATACACTGACCTATGCTTCACATGGGGACACAGGTCAGCACAGGGCATTGGAAATTCCCTGACTTCCCTTCCACCCTGCCCCATGTCTTCTTGCTGGGACCTGCACTGGCCCATGGTTTGCACAGAGGAACAGGTCAGTGTGAGTCCTAGCAAGGAGGTACAGGGTTGTGAGGGAAACTGAGAATCCTCCGGCAAGAAGAATACATCACCCCTTGTCTTGCATTGGGCCCTTCTCCAACGTGGTATAAGCGGTGACATGTGTTTCACCCAATAAAGCAGATCAGCCTGGATGGGCCATTATCACCACAGCTGATCTGCTTTGATTTGGTGACAACTGTTTCTAGAGTAAGTGAAATGATTTAGTTTAGGCTTCTTAGGGTGAAATTACATGTTACACTCAGACAATACTATGGGTACTAGTATACTAGTCCCTTCTCCCCACTCCCTCCCTCCTGACTGCCTTCCTGTTCCTGAGGCACGGTGCTGCTTCACTGCCCATCTGGACTGTGCTGCACGCTAAACGTTAACTGGTAATGCATTACTGGTATAAATATACTTATTGTTTAAACATTTAACCTTTTATAATCCTATTCCAGACCTCTTCCCTACACCCAGAGCAAGGATAGAGCCCAGGTGTCCTGACTCCTAGCCATGCCTTTGCTCCCTCAAGTGGCAAGTCAGAGCTGTGTAGGCAAGAAACTATAAATTCTTAATGTAGGACTGCTCACCGCATGTTCTAACTTCAGCATTGCTGAATACTTCACAGGTTTAGTATGGTCTAAGTGTAATGTGCAACTTCAGTGTTACACTTAGTTATATAACAGTTCTTATTTTAAAGCTAAGCGGTATGAAGAGTGCCTACTCTGTCATAGGGAAGGAGACATGAGTGCTGAGTTTGGTATTAATTACTGAACAGCAGGAAGTAACTTGGTCATAAAGACTGGTGATCACAACAAACTTTCCACAAACTGAAACACAAAAGTATTGCATTATTGCCACTTCCTACATCATCTTTCACCAAATGGAATGGACTAAGAATCTTCCATTAGCCTCAAGGGAAGTAGCACTGATTCTTTTAATTGTATGTGTGGACATCAGTTTTGATTAGGTTTGATGGGCCATGAACTGGAAGGTCCTGAAGTGATATTCTTTTTGTGACAGTTTTTAGCGGAGGCTCAGAGAGATTGTTTGAGAGAAGATCCAGTGTTTCTTAGTGTTTGAGTTATGGAAGATTAAAGCCTTCAACTTTCTTCTTCTTTTTCCTTATTTCTTAGAATCAGCAAAAGCTTCCATGTCTTTTCTGTGGTAGAGCATCACACTGAAGGAAACAGGGTGTGATAATAGGGACAAGCTCTTCATTCTGTTTTGGCAATGTGGTAGAAGAATAGCTGAAGTTCTTTTCCTTAGATGATTTTTTTTCTGTAGAAATCATTTTGGCAGAAGAGAAAAGGAAAGGGATGGACACGGAGGAAATTATCCTTGAGATTTTTACCAGTGCTAAAAACCTTGTTGAGGTAGTCAAATATGGCTACATTCAGAAAAAAAGAAAGACTAGATTCACCTGTTCCCTTTTTAAAAAAATTTGTGTATGTCTTCTATTAGGATAATTACTGTCTTCCGACTGAGTAACATGACGCAGTTTCTTGTTCAGCCTGCAGAGTGGAAAGGAGGGGTACAGCATCAGGATGACATCCTTTGCGCTGCATTTTCACCACCACATACTCTAGTTACAGGTAGCAGAAAGTTTATTGCCTAATATATCTTCTGGAAATCAGGACGTGGGCAATCATTATTATGCCAGGCTGCTTCTATTACTGTGTGCACTGGCTTAGCTACTAATGTGCCACTGGCTGTGGTGTGCTACCTATGAAATGGGACCAAATTAGAACTTGTTAAGAAGAAAGGGAAAAAAGTGCCAGGACTGAATCTTGGAATGTTATCAGCTTGATTTTCCTCATTTATGCCATTGTATTTCAATGGATTTCAGCAGAATTATACCTCCACTTGCACAGGAGTGAATGAGGGTCAGGTTATTTGCATCTTTTCTTATCAGAGTGACAATGAACAGCCTTGTGGTTGTGTGTGCAAGATGTCTAGGTTAAACTGGGTTGGAAAACTCCTCTCTGTCAGAGCAGCTGATCTTATGAAATTTCAGCTCCTAATGACTGACGTATCAGGAGACCGTTTCCCAAGTTTTGGGCATTTTAGATCTTAAGCTGTACCCAGGCTTTCACTTGACTTTGACCCAGGACCTCAACCCAGCACTACACCAAATGTGAAACAGTTCTTCCCTGGTCCATCTTCAGTTAATGGATAAAGGTTATGAAGTAAGCTAGGGTCATGCAAGTAAACTAGAAGTGAAAGCCTTTTAATGCTATCTGAGAGAAAACCCAGACAACTACTCAGAAGACAAAGGAAAATGTTCATTGTCACAGAAAACATATGGGTAAAAAGGAAAGCTTTTTCTTTAAAAGGAGTAATATAGATGAGTGGGGTTTTTTTTTTTTTTTGCCATAGTTTTATTCTTTTACTAGGGAAGGGAGTTTAAAACTATGCTTGGACTATCACTGATTTTAAGGAGCCCTCTCCAATCTCACTAACCTGGCTGATCTTGCAGACACTGATTTCATGCTGACATACCTTCATGATTGCTGCAGAACGACACTAGTGGAAGCAAGTGAAAACATAGACCCAATGTTTAGTTTAATGAACCAGACCAGATCTGTTCCTGTCAGCCTTGTTCAGACCTGTAGATGGGGGATGGATTTAAGTCATGCCTTGCTGAAGCTACATGATTGCCCAAATTATAGCCTTCCAATTGTCATTTTTGGTTCTTGTGTCCAAGGTTGGCCTTGATTGAGGTCTCACTTTTTGTTTTAGTTTGAACAGGTAGCACCTGAAAGCAGTTTTTAGGGGACTTACTTGTCTATTGTCTATGTGCTCAGATCCCTTAGACTACTTGAAAATCTCAACAAACTTCTCTGTGGTTTACTTTTAATAGAAAACTAGAGTAACAATGCCTTTCCAGTGACTTTTTTGGGAGATCCTTGTTTGAAATGTCATAGGCACATGAGAATACAAGCCCAGCTAATCCTTTTAATGTGAACTATCATGTAAAGCATGAAAATATTGCTGTGTTGGCAATCAAATAATTCTCATGCCTGAAGGATCAAGAGGCTAGGGGCTTTAATGCTGCATTGTCTAATACAGGGAGCTTTGGTGGCGAAATTGTCATATGGGATAACAGCACGGAAAGTGTCTACCTTAAGCTTCACCTTGATCTGCAGAAGTCTCTGAAATCAAAATCAGGTGAGTGAGTAGCTTATTCAAGCTACAGTGCTTTCAAGCTCTAGATGAAACACATTAGCTCTGTTTGCTTCTGCATATAATATTCAACATGCCACTAAATTACTGATAATTGAGTGCAGACTAAGGGGATTATTTACACCTTTGTCTTGTCAGAGTGACAAAAAGCAGCCTTGAGGCTGTGCTTGCTTTATTCGCTTCAGCTTATTCTCTATAGCTCTCAAGGCTATTGCTTCTGTTTATTGTCACAGATCTACATCAGCATTTTTATATTATTACTTCCAGCAGAGAGCATTCCTTTAATTTTTGCCTTGTTTAGTGCTGGACTATAAATAATACCAAATATTCATGGAAGTGAGTCCTGCTGAGCCTACCCTTGAGGCTGCTTAGAACTGGAACATTTCATTGGGCTGATACTCTGCACAGACTAATGGTATAATGTATATTAAGCACCATGCCAGTTGGAAATCTATAATTATTCTCCACTCTAAAGCTGTAGACTGCATTAGACAAGAAATACTGGAGTGGATTGTATGGTAGCTTAGCAGGAAGCATGCCTCTGAATTGGAAGCATTTGCCAAGTAATTTTCTTTAAATTTCTTCCATGATCAGTGTAGTGGGGAAATAAATATTGATATATATTTACAGTTCTTGAAAATCAGTTGTCTCACTTGCACAGACAGTATTCATCGGGGGTATCTGAAACGAATTAGAGATCTACTCTCTGTATGTCAGCTACAATTTATATGTGGGAGACCATTGCTTTGTAGGAACAAGACATTTCAGAGTAAGAATGCTTAATACACCGTGAGTAGAACAGGTGTGTCAAAGGAACAACAAGAGTTTCCCGAACATTTAGGGGCCTATGCTGCAGAGGGGCAGATTTCAAGTTGTTAAAAATTGGTGCAGCTCTACTGGAATCATTAGAAGAGTACTGCCTTTAACCCTCTGTGGATCTGGCTCGGAGACTGCAGATCATGCTAAAGCTCAGCAATCTAACTGTTGGCAAGAGAAAACAAGGTAGTAAATGTATTTTGTGCTCATTAAAGACTGGAAACCTTATAGAGCAAGCTTCTGCTACCTTTTCTGTTGAGTAGTATAGGTCATGGACTGACAAACAGGATCTGCTAGGAAAGTCCCATTTGAAAAGCAAGGTGGAAAAGCAAATTGTGACCTTGTAATTTGCCCTGAGATGGGAAATTCTACCCCAGTTCTATTCTAGGGTAATGTCTTCTAAGTTTAAGGCACCCCACCCCCAGCCCAGCAGGTCAGTCCATGGGGGAGGGAATGGGCAGGGCCAGATTGAGACCCCTACAGTGAGGGACAGAGTGCTGCAGAGGCAGGAGCAGGGGTAAGAGCAGTGGGGCCCTGGCTGGGTGGGTGGTGGGAGCCCAGGCAGCTTGTCTAGAGCCCAAGGGAGAGGGCTCCCACCACTGTGCGCCCCCTGGCGGAGGCCCCCAGTGGCACATGCCCCCTATCTGTGCATAGTGGAGGCAGCTGCTGTTGCAGGCTGGGCTTTGCACCCTGAGCCCTGCTGCAGCCTGCCTGGGAGCAGCCCGATACCACATGCATCCCACCGCTGGGCAGGCAGGGGACAAGGCTCAGCACAGCAACTGAATGTGTGTGGCGTGGGACTGCTCCTGAGCCAACTGCAGTGGGGCTCGGAGTGCAAAGCCCAGCTCTCAATGACAGCTGCTTCCACCATGCACAGATGGGGGGATACGTGCCCCCCCCAAGCCAGACAGTGCAGGGAGCTAAAGCAGCTGTGAGAGGAGGAGTGGGGCTGGAGCAGGGGCAGGCTGTGCAAGGGCGGGGTGTGGGACAGATCAATGAGTGGCTCATCTGGGGGGTGCAGGGAGGGTGGGGCACAGAGCCCAGGAGGGCATGGGTGGCTCCAGGCTGCACTCGGGCCATGTGGTGACAGTGCTGGGAGTGGGGCTACAAGGGTGGGGCCGCAGGCACCTGAAAATTCTCCATAGCCC